CGATTATATTAATATTTAATATAACATCCAGTATTGTAATACTTAAGACGTAAATGTTGATAAGGATATATTATTATGTATTTTATATTCTATATTAATCTAATATCTATGAAACACAAAAAACTACAACAAATTAATAAACTAAACCACCTGAATATGACAATAGAATCGTGTGGAAATATTATAAACGAAAATTAGGTAGTACCTTTATTATATAGTAGGTATAGAAAATACATTATACAGCTCGATTTAAAATTTAAAATAGATAAATTACAATAAATAAGACATTAATTGTAAATGACAATACTGTTAATACTATTTTAATAAATATAATAAATATATCACATTGATGTTGATTAAATACATTTCTACAAATCAATGAATTTATCCATAGGCACTTAATGATTAAAAATGAAAATATTATCTGTGAATAATTTTGTTTGGATTTATTTTTATTAATTTTAAAATGTATTTTTAATGTTTATCAAATAATTTTATATTGGCATGAATAAAAATATAAAATTGTACATTGACATTTATGAATTTTAAATCGTAGATTTAATTTGTATTTTGTATATTATTATACTTTAATCAGCTGTTATACGTTTTTTTTACCCAATTAGGTATGTAAGTAGTAGGTAACTCCTTATATCTTGCCTAGTACATATTTTTATAGAACACTAAACTAGTACAGTAACTATGCATTACATTTATGTGTATTAATATGATTTATATTATATAAAATCAATCAATTGTTTAATAAAATATCAATTTTTTAACAAATTAAAACATCAGAAAGTATTATGGACATTTTATATTTCTAGCATCATATTTTATTATGAACATGCTCTTTTGTATCTTCTCAAGATATTGATGACTCCAAATAATGTAATGTTTATATATATTTAATATAAGTGTACTTTTATTTAATCATTTATATTGAAACCATAAAGCCATCGTCATAACTGTATTTATTTTCCTTTTCAATACCATGTCACTCTTGACCGGCACTCATGACGCTCCTTCGGGGTAAATATTTTATTTCACTTTTTTTTTAGTGAGAATATATATCATTTAAAAATTATGTGTTCAGTAAAGTTAGGGTTTATAGTAAATAACAGATGAAAATATTGTGACAGAACAGGACTTTTTATAACAATATTAAATCTGACCAGATTTATTTAAAACAATATATGTTGTAGGTACCTAGGTAGTAGGTACTCTTTAAAAACATTGAATTATATGTATTTAATGATAGTGGTTGTATAATATAATAGTGTGTCACTAATATGTATAATATATATTTATTAAATCAACCCTAAGTACAATAAATATTAACTAAAACCGAGGTGTATTGATAAGGTGTCGTCACTTGTTTGAAAATTTTACTACAAATAGTCATCACCACCAGGAGCGGCTATATGTCCTAAAGAGGCTGATATACAAACACTTTTGTACACCGAAGCCATAGAAAATTAAAAATATATTATGATTTAAGGAATAAAATTCTAAATTTTTCATTGCATAATGACTTCTATGCACTAAATTAGTTGTATGCATGTATTTAAATACTTTATTTTTATCAAATACAATTACTAATATTATTAAATAGGTATTGTCATTTTTTAATTTCCTATTACAGAAAAAATATATGAAAAATGTAAGAGTTAATTCACTAAATTATCATACATAATACTTTCAAAGTGTTACAATTAACAAATAATTATTATTAATTAATATGTTGATTTTAAATACAATTCATGATATGTTGATATTGAGTTTAATACTAGTATTCATATTACCTATGTGTTACCAAAATGCATATATTTTGAATACCTTTTTATAAGAATTTATTACTCAGTTGTACCTATCATCATTGATTTTATAATATATTCATAGTATTTAAAGTACCTTTATTATAAAACATTTATATGGTCATCCTAGGACCTAGATCAATGCTTATTTTCTTTAGACTTTAGGCGTTGATTGAAAAAGTTTAAATACTTAAATTTTAATACTATTATTAATATTTTTCAAAAGTATATCAGAACATTAATTTACTATACATTTTAATAACTTATCTGTGTTAAATAGTACATGTAATTTTAGTATATACCTACCTAATTTAGAAAAAACAATTAATAATTTTGATTAAGGGGTTTATTGACAGTTTTACATGGAATTTAGGGAACTTTATGACAAAAAAATTTGAGAAGTACTGTACTAGATTATACTGTAAAATATCTATATATATATAACTAGCTGTCCCGGTAAAAGATCATGTTTGTAATGTTGAGATTCTATTTAAAAACTTCATAATATACATTTTTCACTCTTTATTTTTCTAACATAGGTAATTTATAGTTATTGACAAAATATATAAACAAAAATGTTGACAAAGGTTGTTTGCCCAATACACAGTCAAATATTAACCAAACATATCATAACGCATTATGTCAAAACAAGAATGACAATATTCACTTGCAAGAGAAAAAAGGTGGGCAAGTGGGTGTCACTCTGCTGTACAGTAGGTTACAAGTGGGTCACTGTATAATGGATGGTATTAAATTTGAATTCAATGATCTAATATCATTGTATAAGAAAAACGATTCTGAGCGGTGACGGTATGTCAGTCTAGTATAAGACATATTATATACATATCTATGGTATTAAACAAAAAATTGACCTATAATAGGTACCTATAATAAATTCCAAATTAATCATATCACAATATCCATTAGGTACTGGTAACGCGTTATACATCAACAAAAACCGTGATACTATCATAGATATATAATAGTACACTTTAGAAGTTTCAAGTACCCACGAATAATATTATTCAATCACAACAAAATAACTAAAATAGTTATTCTAGGTTTTTTAATATGTAATTTCGTCCAAATTTGAAATTAAAATGTCTGTAAAAAATAAGTGTGTTTATATATTTTTTAGATTTTTTGGTTACAGTATGAATTATTTAAGAGAATCTTTGTTTTAAATTTTCAACTCTTAGTTATAAAAACTGAACATTTTATAATTTTTTAATTCCAACGATTGATTATTTTCGAGATTTTGATAAATTTTGTCAAAATTCCAACTTTAAATGCTTATAAAAAAAAAATCGTGCTTATGTATTTTTAAAATTTTTCAACTGATATTGTAACAATATATTAGAAAGCTTGTATTCAATTTTCAGACTTTTTGGCCCACCAAATAAAATTTTATTGACAATTATAAAAAAAAAACTAAAAAAATTGAAAACTGAAAATGTCCCTAAACAGCTCAAAAAGAGTCAAAATATTTTCAAAATTGTATGGTGTATAGAAAATGCTAATTTAAACATTCAGTGAAATTTTCATGTATCTTCAGTTGTTCGTTTTTGAATTGCAACAAAATAAAGAAATCGCTACATGAGAAATCGAGTGAATATCCAATGTTGTAAAAATTTTAATTTCAAACGCTCATAAAAATTTAACTTAACTGTCCGGTAGAGATTTTTTTATTGATAAAGGTAGATAATCTTATGAGGAATCTTGTGTTTCATTTTCAAATCTTAGATTTAAAAAGAAAATTTTTTACGAATTCTTAACTCAAAATAATTTGCTAATTTTCGTGATTTTTCCATATTTTGTAAATTTTTGAACTTTAAATGCTTATAAAAAAAAATTGTGACTAAGGATTTTTAATATTTTTCATCTGCCTTTGAAACAACATATTAGGAGCCTTCTATTGAATTTTCACGCTTTCGCAACCAACAAATAAAATATTATTGATATTTCTAGAAAAAAAACTAAAAAAAAATGAAAAATGAAAATGTCCCTAAACAGTTCAAAATAAATCAAAATATTTTGAAAATGTTATCGTGTTTAGAAAATGCAAATATAAACAACCAGTGAAAATTTCATGTATCTACGGTAATTTGTTTTAAAGTTACACCAAAAACCAAATTCGATTTTTTGGAAAATCGATTTTGCGTAAAAATTCCCGTTTTTCCTTAATTTTTATGTTGTTTTTCCCGGCGCTTGTGAAAACTACTGGAAAATGTTTACTTTTGACCCCCCAAAGTACCAACTAGATTCACTTTCCTATCAGAAAAGGTACTATTGAAGAAAATCGAAGCACTTTTACTGTCCCAAAACGTGATGACAGACACAAAAATATAAATAAAAATATAAATAAAAATATAAAAACATACATCATTGTAAAACCAATACATTCATCGCTCCGCTCAGAATCTAAAAATTAGCAAGGTGCTAAAAACAAGAAAACACCAAAAAAATAAACAATTTTTTTAAATTAGTTTGAAGTTTATAAGATAACTATTAGTGAATAATATTAGAATATAGGTAAATAATATACCTAATCATATAATAAATTATGCAAAATATTTTAAACATGTTTTTAGAGTTTTTTATGAGCACTAGAACTAATACTCCACTCTACCAGACTACTATTAAAATTAGGAGCAGAATCATAATAGTTTTAATTTAATTTAATGATTTTAAGAAGGATGCAAATATCCAAAGAAGTGACTAAATTATACATCATATTTTATAATATTGATGTCTACTCGATAAAAAATATTGCAAATGATTAAAATGCAAATGTAATGTATAATTACAGGCTCCAATTTATTATGCCAACTAAATTTAAAAAAAAATTTATTGTGATTCAATGTTTTCGTAAATACTAACTTCAATTTTAAAAAAAAATAGCATTTTAATTCTTAAGTTTCAAAGCATTTTGAATTTAACAGTATGAATAAACAGGCCTTCATGGAACAGGAAGCGCGCTCTGGTGACTATAGAACTGTGGTAATATTTTCAATCAAGAGTGTATATGTATAGGGGTCCAGAGTGACGACACCTTATCAATACACCTTGACTAAAACTCACCTGCCTAAATTATTGTTTTCTGGTGACTTATGATCTTAGTTGTGACTCGTTGAACATGCTACAGATGACTTGAAGTGCCCCCTGCAATAAATCTCCATTTTGTTGTTACTTGTTATCTTTTCTGTACATGCATGCATCTATGGATACTATAATTATGATTAAATTCATCGATTACATATACAAGAAACTCATCACATTGATAAATGTATAGACGAAATTAACCATAACAACCTATATTTGAATGTTGATCGCCTCCAGAGTCCTGACCACTTTGCACGCCGCAACAATGCAATGATAATCTCTGAGTTCCATACTTCTGGTGCTGATTTCCATGTATATACAATCTATAAAAATGTGGATATCCGATATTTTAAGTATTTTATATAATATATAAGACATTCACACAATTACCTGCAATGATTGTTATCCTCCCATTTCCACTTAAATAATCTAAGCATAGGGTAATATCTAAGCTTTCAGAGACGCTACACTGGGCATTCTCTTATCGTTTTCTTACTTCAGTACACCCTGCAATGAATACTGGTTTAACCATTCAGGTAGGCATCTCATAACACAGGTACCGATATTCAAATGTACACAATCTATAAAAGTGTGAATATTCTATGTATTTTACAAGTCTTACACACTTATCTTATTTCCGCACATGCACTCTTCGGCCCTCGCATGGTCGTTGAATCTTTCACATTTATGTAAACCGTATCTATAACAATTAACAATATACACACATTGAAAATAGACATGTGAATAATGAGTATATAATATTATAATATAGTGTAATTATTTATTTTAATATAGTGAATTTCTCAGTTAATCTGAATTTAAATTATGCTTGTTACAAAGAAATATTTAATATTTATGTTTTTTGACAACAAATTTTGATATATTATTAATAATAATTAATATATAATTATTAATTATTATACTAAGTTACGTAAAAACAAATAAATATTTTCTACATAATATATTGTAGATTTAATAAGCATATATTATTATAAATTTATTATTGGAATATTTAACAACTTGACCATCAATTGTGTGACATTTTATTTAATAATTTATTAAACTTACAAAAAATAACGATACCAGAAGCGTACAAGTATATAATATGGGATGTAACCCAACATTATGTGATATTCTCAAAATAATTAAAAAATTCAATCAAAAAATGAGTAACTATCTATTCATGTATTTTTCTTGATTATAATATATTATGTTATATATTGTTAAATGTATAATGCTGTAAATGTTGTTATTTTACCCCCTTGGCAACAAGTACCTACGCTCCAAAAACATTGAGTTAGGGTATCCGATATTCCAATTATTTTATAAAATATTACATAAGTAATGTAATCGTGACGATACTAAAATAATAATAAAAAGAAAAAATTGAAAATCTAGTCCCCTTCAAATATAATAATATGTACAATAATACAACATTTTAAATGAAAAAATAATATTTACCGAAAAAGTAAACAAGTCCGTGGAACGTTAGGAGGACCTTCCCGCCGGAGAGTTGTTGACGTTCAAACAAATAACGACAGTTGCGCTTCAAAAAGATTTACCACTGGCTCGCGAGCAGTGTGGATGTGTTGCGGGGCGCACCGCGCACGTCGACTGATAGCAAGAGCTGGCTTGCAGCGGTACTGTTGCCATTGGAACTGCCCACTTGCACGCTGTCTTGGCGGCTAGCTGCGCAACACTGTGTCACAGTCACCGCCTTTTATGAGAGCGCGGCTGCTATCGATATACTCACATTATCGATAGTGACTCTCTGACAATCCATAATATTATATTTATAAAATAATTAATTAATCGTGTTCTTTTATAATAATGTTTGTACGAGTAACGAGTTAATATAGATATGAGTGGTGAGACGCCTAAACTATTCAGATTAATTATAAAATTTAAAACTACAATTAAGAGGACGTCAACGTCATACCCGCTCAAGTGTTGTCTCCTTATTATACACGTACGACATAGACAAAACGCGTTTACGCAGTCTGAATAGAACTTGCTCAATTTTGGTTTTACTTTTACAGTAAAAATACTCATTATAAGATTGAATTGTGACAATATTATCTCTGAGGGCAAGTTCGAGGAGTCGTTTTTTTTAAAAATTTAAATTTTAAAAAGTTAAAGGTATTTTAAAAATGTATGATACAAATCCTGTTGTTTAAGAAGCCACGATTTTATTCGTCATTTCAGTAGCTCAACTGAAAACCGTTTATGTTTAAAATATACCTTTAATATTATGTCTGTTTGCGAAAAATGTACATGTACGGTGCACAGTTAATATAATTGTTTACGCATACTCTGTGTCACTGTCGTAAATAAAGACAAGCCGAAATTATAAACTACAAATGAATATAAATGTTGTTACATAAATATAAAACTATTTATATTAAATACACGAAAGTTGTATGGAAAACGACGATCACTTTATTTGAATACCACGACTAGCTGAATTAGGTATATAAATATTGTGTTATCGAAAAAATTTGGTTGCAATTTTTAGATTACTATAATGATTATTGATTAGTTAAAATGTATTGTCTATTATCGAAAAACACTATGTACCGAGTTTTAAGTGTGCTCATTTTTGTCCGGGCGAAGTCGGGTTATAACGCTAATATTGATCAAAACATTCTCAGCCACAAGTCTACAAGTTACAACTAATAATATTAATACGGATAAACAGTGAAGCTATTTCCTACGTGCATGCGGCGAGTGTCGACGAATTATATTCTCAGTGGCGTACATACGGGGGGGGGGGTCGGGTTCAACCCCCCCCCCAGGACCAAAAAAAAAAATAATAATAATGTGATATTATTGATGAATTTCTTATTATTAATCAACCGTGTATACACAAATATACGTCATAATAATATGACTATTGAGTAAACAGTAAACACTATACTTAACCAACAACGAAAAAAGATTCCATAACGAAATTATGGGTGCCGTATAATATGGTATATCAATCAAAATAGACATTATTTTGATCGTACACAGTCGGTTAGTTGCGTGAGGATATAATTAAATAAATACATATTAAAATTGTCTTTATCTCGACCGACTCGATTAGACAACGGAGAAAAAACCGATTGCGTTATAATCGTTGAATTTCGCGTGAGTGACAATAATACGGTGAAATGGATTCTATTTTTATAGCACTATCATAATTATTGACCATGTTAAAATATTTAATTATGGAATGTTCGTTCATTCTGTTCTATTCTGCCGTCGGAGAAGTTTTTTTTTGTTTATTTTTAGATTTTAGTGTCGGCAAACTATATCATAATATTATGTCTATATTATTGAAATTTTGACACAGCAACAAAATAGACTCAAATAATGAAATGTAAAAAAATGAAAAACAAAATAAATTAACTTACAAATAAAAAATGTAATTCGTTAATTTAACGTTGATTAAAAAATAAATTTAGTAAATTAGTAGTTAAGTTAAAAATTATTATTATCACATCATAATCATTATCATTCGATTTCGATATATTTTAGGTTTTGAAGGTAAAATAAATAGTAATCATGGCTGAAAAAAAACAATCGAAACTGCAATCTTTTTTTTCAAAACCACCCTCAATAATGAATTCATTGTCAAATTTATTGAATGCAACTCAAACAGTTATAAGTTCCTCTAGTTCCTCATTACCATCAACTGCATCTGCATCTGATACACCTATCACTCAGTTTACACCTTCGACTACAGATATTAATCGTACATCTTCCAGTTATAATATTTTTGACATTGCACATTACACAAATAAATTGTTAACGCAAAGTGAAATAGAAGAAATTTTGAGCAAAATTTGGGTCCCTGATATTAATTACAATTTTCCTATCAAAATATCAGTAGTCGGTAAACAACAAAAAGTTTTGAAGTTGAAATTTCAATATAAATGGGTAATTAACTTTCCCTGGTTGGCCTATTCAGAAGTAAGCAATGGTGCGTATTGCAAATATTGTGTTGCTTTTACTAAAAATGAAGCCGGTGTTAATAACCAAAAATTGGGAGCATTTGTATTAAAAAAATATGATGATTGGAAATGCATTGGAAGACTTTAAAAATCATTCGAATTTAGAATATCACAATCAATAGAATTTTTATTATAAATAATTAATAATATAATATTTATAATATTCTGTAGTGCATATTAGGTATATAATATTTAACTGCCATGAGTTACGTAAACCTTTGTATTTGTATTGCTATTTTGCCTATTAATATTTATACGTATAATGTGTTTGATTGTTAGGAAAATGGGTAGTTGCAAAGAGAAGGTTTTAGTGCTGGTTATTTTTTTTTAACAGCCCCCCCCCCCCAGAGCAAATTTGAATGTACACCACTGTATATTCTGACCATTTTGTTCCAAACGCGGCGAAAATCAAGCTGTTTTGTTTTTCGCCGCGTCTACCGCGTTCACGTAGGACATACCACATACCTATAGCTTAACCCCAACGTGAACGCTGCAAAAAACAAAACAGCTTGGATGCGTTCACGTTGGACATAGGTTTGCATTTATATTGCATTAGCTTACGTAGTTTGAAGTATTTATATTAAGAAGTATTAAACTATTATAACATTCATTTTTCCAATAATAATAAATCTTAAGATGACGCATGTGTTGTCTTTGTCTTACAAACGTGGAACATACCAAATTTAAGCTCAGAGATTCACGTTTTATGCCGTTAGCTTAAAAATTTAAATGAATCGACCTATTATGAAACTTGATGATAAGAACATTATCTGTGTTTTGTTGTACGTTTTTTATGATAATTCAGTTTTTAAGTAAGTTATTGAGTGTATAATAAATGTAAATTAAAAATTATCACAACTCATTTAAAAACTGAATTATCGTAAAAAAACTTCCATCAAGACACGGATAATGTTCTTACCATGTTCTTACCATCAAGTTTAATAATAGGTCGATTCACTCTAATTTTTAAGATAACGGATCTAATGCAAACATTATTTCTAAGGTAGGTAGGTACTTATTTGTAATTTTTAATTACAAATAATATATATATATATATACATATATTTTTTTTTTATTTTTAATTGTATAAAAATCTCATATAAGCATATTGAAGTAAAAATTGAATAAACCTATTTATATAATTAATTAATAAAATATTTTTTTAACTGCACAAAAATATAGTACATTAAAAAAAAGGTTTACGAGTTCCTACCTATTTGGAAAAATAATTAAAAATTAAACCGACCGGCTAACGCCCTAATAAAACAATAGTTTCTGCTTCTTCCACTCGTTGTCAAAAGTAAACCATCGGTATCTACTATCTATATCTATCTATATCGGTATGACGGTATCTCTCCTATTTCTCTCTCTATATCTAAACCCATTCCATTATCCCAATATATGTTTGCTCAGTGCTCTTAAATATTGTATTACGTCGAAAA